AAGCTTTAAACCCCAAACCATAAAGGCCCTTAGCCCTAAACCATAAAAGCCCTAAGCCCTGAAACCCTAAACCCAAAAGCCCTGACCCTCGGACCCAATCGTACCGACTCTTCTCCAATATAGCGGCCTTAGTAACTAGAATAGGGGTTCTCTTAAAGGGATCCTTAAAAGGGGGTCTATAGTAGGATTCTAGAATGTGGGGGCCGTAATAGTTAGAAAAGGGTTTTGGGGCTCATTATACTAAAACGACAAGAGGGAACCCCCTCCAAGATAGTATTGGTAATTATTTAGACCCCTATAGTAATTTACAAGGCTATGATTGCATGTTCCACCTTCTTCTTCTTCTTCTATCTCAGGCAAGGTCCTGCAGCACAAAACCCAGGTTGGTGAACTGAACGAACTCCTGCACCCTGAAAATAAAACACCAAGGTGGGGGAAGCTGATCAATGTAACAGTCTTTCTCGCAAGCCATACTGTAGGCCCTTAAATAATTACCAGTACTATTTTGGTGGTTCCTTATTATAATTAGAGTATACTGAGCCCCAAACCCTATTCTAATTGTTCAGGCCCTTACATTACACCTTAAACTGGGCCGTTCTTTCACCCTAGTCTGACTCGAGAGCTCCCAAACAAGAATCGGTTACCATTCACAGGAACCACAGAAACCCTTTCGTGTACATAAAAAAATCATGACCGTGAGCCCTATGCCCTATAGTCACTAAACCACCCTGACAAAGTATGTCGTCAAATGCTCTCAACAACGAATAGTATCCGTCAAAACTTAACGATAATATAAATAAGTATCACAGTTCCAATCGCGGTAATTCCAGTATTGATGTTGATCATAGTTGTTGTGCTACAATTCTAACTATAAGCCGCTGAAGAGACCCTTAAAGCCCTAAAGCCTACAACAAAAACACAGGAAGCCTAGAAGCCAAAGAAAGAAAAAGCTCAAAGATCCCTTGGAAGTCAACTTTTGAGAGGAACACTACAGGAACCCGTCTCGTATGCGCACCCCATTGTTTGCACAAGGAACCTGAGCAACCTCACATCATGCACCCTCCAAATAATAACCAGGCAGTCATAAACTATCTACAGACAGGACAAGCACCCCACCACCCCTTTCAGAAATAATAAGAACCTCAACAAAAGCCAAGCACCGTGAAAGTAATGAACCGCTGTGAATAAGATTGACAAGAAACCTGATAGTCAACCTGCTGTTATCGTAACCCACAGAGGAGTCCACAACTCTGATAGGAACCCTTACTTGTGACACCGTTGAAGATCAAAACTATGTTACTGAGGGGGATTTCATGGCAGGGATAAACACAACACAGCGGAAAGTAGCACAAATCATGAGGATATGAGTTAAAATGGCAGCAGTAATCATGAGAAGAAGAACATCATACAACAACGCTTTTACCAAGCCCGGTGTCCTACAACTTCCCATGCCGTCAAGCCTTTGAAAGCCCTTCTCCGCTCCAAAGGTGGGTATAGATTCTGTTCTTCCGTTCTTCAAGCAAGGAAGCGTCACAAGAACCCCCCCTCTGAATAGGCCAAATTTTCTTTGACAGTGCCTTAAAAGAACCCCGTTTAATATTACCCGAACCTCGTCAACATTACCCCTTCCCGCAAAGCCCCCCCCCCCCCCCCCCCGAAACCCTAACCCCTAAACCCTAAACTAAACTCCTAAACCCCAAACTAGACCCCAAAACCCTAAACCCTAACCCCAAACCCTTAAAGCCCCCCCCCCCCCCCCCCCCCCCTCCCGGCTTTTGACAAAGGTGGGGCGACTGGAGCCACTGGAGCGAGTGCTCGGCCAGCTGCTCCGGGGGCGTCGCGAGCCGCTCCAGGGAGGTGCAGGGGTTTAAGGTTTAGGGTTTAGGGTCTAGGGGTTTAGGGGTTTAGGGATTACTTTGATTTCCAGGGTTCGTTTTTTGGGTTTGATTTAAAGGGTATACCAGGGCTACTGTGATTTTTTGAGGCTTCTTTTAGCATAAAGAGTGCGCGATACAGATTATTATAAGGGGTCGTTTTTGGGGTCCCTTTCTTTCTAGGGTTCTTGTACAGGGGACTATAGAATATCAACAGCTATACCTACTATACAGATTAGTGTAAGGGCTCCTTTACAGATTGTATAACGTGTATACTAAGCAGACGACAATAAGCGTTGCTACATGGTTTTGTTGAGGGTTCCTTGAAGGGTTCTGTTTAGAGTTCGTTTCAGAGTTGTGTCCTTTCTGTTGTTGTTTGGGGGGAGGGGACTCTCTGTACGAATTTGGCGTGTTATTTGATACGGTTGTGGGAAACTTTCGGGTTTAGGAAATTTGAGCTGTTCGTTTTATGTTTTATTTGCATTGTGGGTCGTTGTTCATTGTACGGGGCTGGCCTGGGGTGTGAGGCAGCCCAGAACTGCTGAATCAAGGAGTAGGTCTACTATTGAATCGGGACTCATTAGATTCTGCCGTCTATAAGATAAAGAATTAGTCATATCTGGGCTCTCTGAATATATGGTGGAATCGAAGTCTCGCCTGGAGAATCCCGATCGATGACCACTCCCCCGATAAAGGGTGCTATAGGGGCCTAAACAATTATCAATATTACTTTGGGGGGTTCCTAATTGCGTTTTATGGTTAAAGCAGCTAGTCGCGGTTTAGCTTCCTGTTGTGTTGGGCTGTCGGTTTTTGCGCAAGGTCTTCGTGTACATGCGTAGGCATTGTTGCAATTCTGTTCTGAAGTTGCAAGGCATCCACAAACAAAGCGGTCTCAGATCTAGAGCAGAACTTGAACGGGCTTCTCCACTTTAGAGTGTTGGGCCAGTGTTGGGCTTTCGAGTTCAGGTTTGGGAAAACACTTTTCGTCTGGTCCTCTCGATGCACCTGTTCGTAAACTAGTTTGGGAGTCCGAAAGTACAACCCAGGATTCCAGGAGGCAGGGATTGCCACTCCTCCGCCATGTCGTGCAGCATGAGGGGATCAAGCCAGATGACCACGGCCAGCGACATGTGAACTAACCGGGCTGCTATGTTTCTTCATGAAAAGATACTTCAAAGCTATCTTTGTGTACGTGGCACTTTGGGATACAGTCTTATTTTCGGGGCATCTACTCCTACCTCCTTTTGGTCTAGTGCTAACCTAGCAGTGTCACTTGGTGTCATCCTCTGGGTGCTCTGCAGAATTGCAAAGATACAGCTTAGGTTTCGCCAGGATCTTCAGCCCGAAAAAAACAGCGTGACGGTTTAGCCCACCAGACAGAAACTGAATGGTTTAGGGTTTAGGGTTAATAGTGTTTAAGGTTTAAAGGGTTATCAAGTGCGACCATAAAGGTAATGGAGTTCGTAGGGAAATCCAAGATGGAAAGCAAGACGTCAGCACCTTCAGCTGCAACTCGGCCGCAAGCCCGAGTCTTCAAGGCATTCCGGCCCCAACACCTACGAAGGCGAAGAAAACTTAAGCCAAGTACAACTTCAATACCAAGCCCTCAACCTGAAAGCCTGAAACCCAAGCCACCGCAACCCTAGTTCCTACACCCTTCACTGATACATCCTAACCCTAAACCCTATGAGCCCTAAAGCAAGAAAGCCAGAAAGCGCTCAAACCTAAACTCAAGAGCTTCAAACTCCAAGCGCTTTCGCAGAATCCACACCGAGACATGTTTGTGAAGGTGCCTTTAAAAGCTTCTACAGGTTTTCAAGGCTTTCCATGACTGATGGGTCGGTAGAGTATCTACTGGCTTGTAGTTTAGAGCACTACAGTACCCTAAACCCTGAACCCTACAAGGGACCCTAATTCAGAGAAGTCGAGGTCCCATGTGGTTAGGATGGAGGGCTGAAGGGCTTCGGTCTCGAAGCCCGAATCGCTGCAGCCTTGCAAGCAGCAAGGTAGCTGCCTTTCCGAAATATAGTGATAGAAGCCTGAATCAGTACTAGTACTTGTCCTTGAAGTTCTGAAGGCTCCTCGTCTGAATGGTGCTGGCGTTACATCCAGGCACTGGGTAGCATCCCAAACATGATACGTACCTGATGGACGCACTTAAGCACTTAGGCTAGGGCTACTTCAGTTAGCGCGACGTCCACGCCAGATTCCAGACATCTCCAGGCCATCAGAAACTCACGATGTCGGTTCAATCTGTTATTAAGTGTATGCAGGACTCTTCAGTATCTACCTACTTCATGTCCGGACACCTTACTTAAGGCCATCTGAAGCTGTACGTTCGCTCCGGTAGGTCTGCAGCTATACCTATTTTCGTCTCCATTGTAGCCCTTACTCAAAACACAACCCGACAAGCCCTAACCTAAACCCCCAAACCCCAAGAAACAAGTACCAGCATCATTCTTAGGATAGTTATTCGGTAAATCCCCTGTTCTAATTATGATGACCAATATCATTCTTAGGATAGTTATTCAAAAAATCCCCTGTTCAAATCATGATGGCCCCGAAAACCCCAGGCCTTCTGGAGCACCCAAGAGCTGCAATCCGAGGATGCCAACTTCTCACTCGACATCCCAGGATCAGAAGAGAAGGCGGGGTGTTATACGCTTTTGGAATTCTAAAGGCTTTTTTATGGGTTTATAAGGTTCTGGTTTTAATTTGTTTAAGGGTTTTGTAGGTTCTTTTTTAAACGGGTTTTTTCAGGTTTGTCATGTTGTGATAGGGGTTCATGGGTTGCAGAGGGATGTTAGGGTTTTGGAGCGTAGGCCTTGGGGTTTGGGGTTCTCTGGGAGTTGCTTTCGGGGTATGGAGAATCAGTCTCAGTATTCTTTCATAGTCCCTGTATGCTGATGGTAAAACACAACCCAAAACCTCAACAATGCAGACTTCTAGATACCAACAAAGTAAAGGTCTTATGAACTGAACTTAGACTGCATACAATCCTACTCCAACCGCTGAGACCCAGAATCCACAAACTTGAACCCATAAACCCTAAACCGGAAGATGACGGCCCGGATCTTAGGGATTCAGTCTTCGGAGGCTCCTCATGCGGACTTCCGTGCATCGCTAATGGCGCAACTTGCAGCTTTTACCACAGCTGCCAGACTGGCTTGAGGGTTTAGGTTTGAAGGCTTCGATGGTGAGAGTTTATGGCTTAGGGATTTGCAGCTTCGAACGGGTTAAGAGGATGCTTGTAACATTGTAGGGTGTAAGGTTGAGGAGTTGCAGTGTATCTTACTTTCGGGAGTACGGTTTATGTTTTACACTTGGATGGGGCGCTTCTTTGGCATCCGGTCGGGGACCTCCGTATATTAGGGTTTAGGGGTTCGGGGTTCACCACCTAGGACCTACTTTCATCCCCAGCCTGCGGAACCTTTGTTTACCTTCCAGGTCCTTGAACGAAGGATCTCAAGTTTTCGGGCCTTCACAAGGATCGGTTGTTTTTCCCAAGCGCCCCTATTCTGAATAGACAGTAGAGTGCGTAGCCGAAAGTGGCCTTTAAGATCTGTGAGGACATATCATGTCTTCATAATCCCAAAGCTTAACCTCTAGAGTTTCTGGGAAGCTGGACAAGCAAGACCGTATACGCTACTGAAGGAGGGTAGCTGTCTTGAGGACACTCCTCCGGCAAACGTAAGGTTCATGACGTACGGCTTAGGGCTCTTGGATAGCAGGCATATCCCGATTCCTATATCTGTCATATCACCAGCTACTTGGAGGTTCATGGGTAGTTATAAGTGGTGTCGTAAGCCCCCCAAGAGGAGATATAAGTATAATTAGCCTACTTATAACCCACTCATAGCTGCCCATGCACACTCAAGTAATACTATTCCTTTAAGCCTGAGGGTTCCTGAATATCTACACACTAAGCAGACACCAAAAACCCCTTTTCAGCCTATGAAGGCCCCGGCAGAAACCCTCAACCCTAAAGGACTAAATTCAGGACCCTACGGTTCCATGGCTCCTGGGCTCCACAGGAGAACAAAGCTTGAAGCCAAGGCTTGCATCAAGCATCTTCGGGATTAGGGGATTAGGGTTTATAGGGTTTAGGGTTTATTGGGTTTAGGGCTTAGGGTTTATAGGGTTTAGTAGGGTTTATAAGGTTTAGGGTTTCTAAGTTTAGGGTGTAGAGGTAATCTAATTTAGTGCCGAAGGCCCGAGCCCTCCAAGCCACTGCAACACAAACTATCAGACTGTTCATCAAGCCCTCTAGACAGTGAAGCCCTGAAGTTGCAAGATGTCTTAAGGATGATGCGTGCTACGGTTCTTGGTGCTCGAGCTTCAAGGGCATGAGGGGACTAATGCTCCAACTTACTGGCTTCGACTATATGCCCTAAACCCTACATCCTAAACCCTAAGCCCTACACCCTAAACCCTAAACCCGAAAGTCTGAAATCGAAACGCATCGAAAGCCCTCAGAGACGGAAGTCAAGGCTCTGGCAGACACACCCACTACCTCTCCACAGCCACTGGCTAGAACGAGATTGGAGAGCTTCTGCTTTTGCTTTAGGGCTTAGGGTTGAGGGGTTTAGGGTTGAGGGTAGCGGAATTTTCAGGCTTTTTGAGAGGGTTTCCGAAGGATTTCATGGGATTTGCTCACAAGTTCCAAGGGTTTAATGAGTTGATTTTGGTCCAGGAGGGGCCCTCGAGTCCAAAGCCCACAATTTCACACCCCCCAAAACTCTCAATGTGAGGGTTCAGGGTTTAGGATTCGTGGTTGAGGGTCTCGGGTTCAGGGCTTAAGGTTGAGGGTTCAGGATTAGGGTTCAAGGTTTAGAGTTTAGAGTTTAGGATTCAGGCTTTGGGATTTGGGGTCTTGGATAGCGCCGCGCTAGGGACCTAGCAAAGGATGGAAGTGCGGGGCCTCTTTAAACTTTACGGGGATCCTTTACGAGTTCATAAGGGTACCAACAGAGTTCTAGGGAGGTTTAGAGTTCTGTGACCCAAAAGTTCCTGTGTAGGAACTCCTTTCAATGCTGTACTATACTACGCCAGACTATACTACACTATACCATAGAGGTGGATATACCCTCAAAGGTAGCAGAAGTGCCGAGGGTCTGTTGTTTTGAGGAGCACTTGCAGAACTGGGATGCTTGCATTCGAAGGAAAAACTAATAACAGCGCCTGAATATTCACCGATCCTATTCGTTAGGTCTCCTTACTATGACTATACTATAAAGGAGCCCAAAACCCTATTCTAATTATCAAGGCCTCTACAGTACAGCTACGATATCCCTAAACTGAAGCTCAGAGACTCCAATATCCCTGGATTAAGGAATATACCTTAAAGTGCAATAGGATCCCTAATATGATATAAGGAATCTTCCTTGATTTAAAGGGCTGTTGGAGTCGCCTAAACCCTAAACCCTAACAAAAAGCCCCCCTAGGTAGGTCCTTTTAAAGGAATCCTAGGCAGATCCTCTTAAAGGAACCCTAAGAGTCCCTCTAGATCCCTTTTAAAGGAACCCTGGGTATTCCCTTTTAAAGGGAAGTCTCTGGGAGCCCCGACCCCCGAACTGCAGCCCAAGCCGTCCGATCGAGGCTTCTCCGCACGATGAAGACGGTCGCAAGGATTTGTGAAGTCGGCGCTTCGGCTTCGGCTCGTGAGTTGGGGGGTAGGGTTTACGGTTTAGGATTCAGGGTTTAGGGTTTGGGGTTTAGAGTACAGGGTGTCGGGTTTAGGGTTCAGGGTTTAGGGTTCAGGGCTTTGGCTTTGGTTTTGGAGGTTACTGTTTCGAGAAGGTTGGGCGGTGGTCTTGTTGCATTTGATGCGGCTGGTGACTTGTATTTTGTTGGGGCACCGAGCTTGCATAAAGGTTTTTGCCCTCAGCTTCCGACTCTGGGGGATTAACTTCATATCCCAAGCCCAAAGAGCCCAAAGCCTCATTGTCAAACGCGATTCTGAAACCTCCGCGAGCCCCCAGCCCCAAAATGGCCTTGAGCCGGAAATCCTAGAATGTTCTCAAGCTTTATCCCCAGCTAGAGGCGGACCCCTGAGAATTCCAAACCCTGATAGCCCTGAAGACCTAGCTATATAGAACCATATAGAACCGCTAATTTTGCAGAACTCTCAACCTTGAGAGCCCTCAGCCCCCGAGGAATCGGCAGGCTGCAGAAAGGCGATGAAGCGCTAGCTGATGCTCTGATAAAGGCAGGGGCCCTTCCTTCTCTCTACGCGGGACTGTATATGGCCTTTACTTACGAAGTCTTTACTGAGCAACCTTAAAACCCTAAGCAACTTTGAAATTCTGAGCAACCTTAAAACCCGAAGTGAGTCCTCTAAAGCCCTACTTAAAGGGTCATGGGACCCTAGTTAGGCCTAACTATACTTACAGCTACTTATGACCCCAATTAGGGGATCCTCCAAGTAGATCCGAAAATTTGAAGCTCTTGGCCATTCCCTCCAGGACCACGCGCTCGGCGACTCCTTGCTGAATGCAGCCCTGGCGCTCCGGACCGAGGCTTCGAAAGCCCCTAACCCATAAACCTTAAACTCTAATTTCACACCCTCAACCAAAACCTTAGACCCTAAAATCCTTTGAAACCCTAAACCCCTTAACCCCTAAACACCTAAACCCCTAAACCCTAAACCCCTAAACCCCTAAACCCCTAAGCCCCTAAACAACTAAACCCCTAAACCCTAAACCCCTAAACCCCTGAACCCTAAAACCCTAAAACCCTAAAAAAACCCTAAAACCTTAAACACCACTAACACCCTAAAACACCCTAAAACCTTAAAAACCACTAAAACCCTAAAAAAACCTAAAACCCCAAAAACCACTAAAAAGGAAATCTTAGCCTTCCGAGGTGTCTCGGCCGAAGCTCCCGTGCGGCGAGGGCCTCTTCCTCGCGCTCCAGGCCGCCTCTGAATACTTGGGAGTTTCCAAAAATCAGGGGGCCTTAAAGGGATCTATCAGGGTGCTATAGTGGGGATTATTATGGGAGTTTCTGAAAATTGCGGGTGTCTTATTTTGGGGTCCTTATAAAAAGGATCCTATTAGTTAGGGTACTATATTTGGGTCCCCTGTTTTCGGAAACTCCCAATTAGGTCCTAGGGTTCCTTTAAAGGGTTCCTTTCAAGGGATACTACAAGGGGTCTATAGTAGGGTTCTATAATATATAGGGGCCTAAACGATTACCTACAGGAGTCCTTTAAAGGGATCCTTAAGAGCTCCTAGATCCATAAGGGATCTATAGGGTTTAGGGTTTAGGATAGGGGCCTAAAGAATTAGAGCTTTGGAGTCCTTTGAGGGCTCCCTCTAAAGGGGTTGCTATAAAGCAGCTATAAAGGAGGAAGAAGGTTCTATAATAGGGTTCCTTTCAGGGTACTTTGAGGGTGCTATGATTGGGTTCCCTTATAAAGGAGGGTACCTTTAAGGGTACTATAAGTGGGTACTAAGTTAGGATTGCCTTAAAGAGTTCCTGTCCGGGTTTCTGCAATGGTCTTCTTGAAGTGTTCGAGTGAAAGGGTGTTTTTTGGGGGGGTTTAGGGCCTACGGGCTCTTATAAATTATACGGTTTACGGTACGCAGTTATTGTAAGAGCTACCATGAAAGCTGTGGGTTTAGGGGTTGCAGGTTGCTGGTTTAGGGCTTTGCGGGGTTTCAGGTTGATGCTTTTCGCTCGAGTTTAAGAGCCATGCAGTTTAAGGTTTCGGCTTTGGGGTGTAGGGTATATAGTATACCTGAACCTACCAGAACCTACTTTTTGTAGGGTCCCTACAAATCCCATATTAGGGTTTATAATGAGAACCTACCAAAAAGTAGGGTTTAGTAGGTCTAGGTAGATAGAGTCATAGAGGTTTAGGGTCTAGGGGCTTAGGGGTTTAGGGTACATCGGATTTGGAAGTTTCCCGATCTCTGTAGACGGTCGGGGCTGGCGCTAGAGGGGTGGGAATGCGCAATGCTGTATATGCCATGTAGGAGGATACGACTTCAGTGTTTACCTACGCGTTGCCGAGGATTTTCAATGTCCACACACTACTTCGGTGATCGTGGTGAGTAAGGATTACAATCTGGATTCCAACAGCCGCATCAATGCATAAGTCTTGCATGCAGATTTACTTACAACCCTAAACCGGGCCCCGCATTGAACCCTAAACCCTAACCCGAATCCCACCATCCTCCACTCAGAGCATCGGGGTAGTTTGCCCAGGAACCCCTAAGCGGCAATCTACATCGGAACCCCTGCTTACACAAATCCTATACCATACCCCCCTCCCCTTAATCTAGAAGCCCGTGCAGAAATCCTTCAAGAGAATGCCCTTACAGGAACTCTTAAGGCCCCTATACCCTCCACCCTAAACCCCTAAACCCTAAACCCCTAACCCCTAAGCCCTAAACCTTAAACCCTATAAGCCCTAGCTATACTACGCTTTCCGAGTCCACCCGCAGGCCGAGCGCGGGGCGGCGGAACTCTTGGCAGCGCTCCTCGAGGAGTCCTCACAGGCCAAGTCAGGATTGCACTCTCGAGGGGTTGCTTTTACAGGGATCCATAAAAGGGATCTACTATAACAAGGGTTCCTTTAGGGATCTCTAAAAGGGGGTCTTTGTAAGGGCTACTATAATGATACTATACTATAGGGGCCTTGATATTTACCTACACTATTTTGAGGGGTTTCTTAGTAGGACTATAATTATTATAATGGGCCTCGAAACCATATTCTAATTATTCAGGCCCTATAGTAATGGTTCCTTTAAAGGGATCCAAACCCAAAACTGCAAGGCCACACCTCACACCTCGACTGCGAAGCTATCCCAGCTACAAGTAGACATGTCAGGCCGTACGGCCACAGGGCGAGCAGCGGTTGCTGACAGCTGCGGATGGCAGTCCGGGCGAATTTCATTAGGTTTTGGGGTTGGGGGGCGTAGCTTTTGGGGATTTCGGTTGTTTTGTTTAACAGAACTTGTAGGATTCTGAGGTGTCTGAGACTTTGATTGCCCTCGGACGATCGGGTGCTAGATCATCGTCCGTGTGCTTCTGTAGGTCAGCTTTTGTCTTTCTTTCTTCGTTTGGTTGCATCCTACTGTTCGTTCTTGCATATGCTTTTCTTTGTCTGTCTGCTAGCGTGTTGTCTTTCGGCCGGTTTCGCCCCCACGGCAAGATGGCACGTCCTGAATGAACACACTGCGAGTGCTAATTACTGAACAGTCTTTTCCCGAGTTTGCCGGCATGAGGCCTAATCGGGTGAATCGCAACTGCTTATCCCCTACTCCCTGCCAAAGAGCAAACGCAAAGCCCGTCATGTTAACCGAAATGAAGTTCCCGTAACAGTACGCCCATAAGCCCTAGGCTATGCCAGAGACATATTCTTAGCGACACAAACCCTCAGAAGCGATCACCACATACACACATATATCCACACAAGTATGAATAAACATGCATGCGTAGTGTTCCTTGCACAAACTATGGACAGGTAAGAAATCGTTTGCGACCCCACCTTCTGACTCACGAACGGCTACATGTTTCACCTTAAACCCCACCCTGCGAAGGTCGGTTGATCCACGTCCTGGCCAATTGTGCACCAGACCCGAGGCTCCACGACGCTGGGCGCTGTAGTTTCGGAACACCCCCCTCAACATAGGGGTTCTATACGGGTTCTGCAGTACCCTAACCCTAGACCCTAGTTAAAAACAAAACCGTTACAGGGCTCAGATGTTCAAGGACACAGTGAATTCCAAAATCCCCAGCCCAAGTTTCTGTCTAATACAGCTCGTCGGAGGACGCGTCTACAGTGAACCCCAGCAAGGTGCAACATGGTTTAAGGATACTTCGTGCTAGGGTCTTTCCAAAATTTACCTTTCAGGGCATGATCAAGTTAAGGTTCCAACTTTCTTGCTTCGGCCCACAGGACACTACAAGTGAGTGCGAGTATCTCGGTGCAGGGTGAAGGGTCAAGGCTTTGGCTTTGAGTACTGTGAGAGATGGTCTTGTAGACGTCGAAGGGTCTTACAAGGTTTTTGGTGGGTCTTTATGGGGCTTCATAAGTTGGTTCATGCGAGGTTTATGGGGGTGCGTAATATAGGGGCCTAAATGATTACCTAAACTATTTTTTGGGGTTCCTTATCATAAGTAATTACAGTATCGTGGGACCCAAAACCCTATTCTAACTATTCAGGCCGCTACATTAGCTTCTTGTTCTACAAGCGCCAAGGCCTTGGCTCCAGGTTCAGATTAAAAGTCACGATTTGAGGGGCTTTGGGTTTCGCAGGCCAGAGCGGCATCTTAAAAGCCCAAACCCAAAGGCCCACTTAAAGCCCTTAAAACCCTAAAGTCGCACGCCCTGGGCCCTGGGCCCAAAATTCGTGAGCCGTTAAACACCCTCAAGACCCCTGGCCCAAAAAAACCCACAACCCCCCCCCCCCCCCCGATAACCCCAATGCTAGTCTGCGAGTCAAGCAAGTGTTGGCTGTCGACCTTATTCTGGGCAGATTACCCCTTAGCCCTACGCCCGAAACCCCCAAACCCTAAACATTACTCAAGGCCCCTCTGGGGATTTCTTACGAAGGGTTTTATGAGGAATCGCTTGGGCACGGCGGGTGTGGGAAGCCGAGGAAACCCTGTGCGAACTCCTCTGGCGCGGCTTGCGACATGTGGACATCGACGCTGACAAGGCGAAGGCGAGGCGAGCACAATTTCATTTTTTGGTTCAGTGTAGGGCTAAAGCTCGACCCGAATCTCCCAAGCGAGGCTGTGCACGAGTTGAACAAGGATGCTTGCCAACCCCGCGATTCTTGCAAGCCCCCGCACCCTGAACCCTCTTTGAAGCAACTTCGTCTCAACAACTCGAGGGTATACTAGACTACACTGCAAGCAATCCGCAAAGATCCCACCTAGCAATACCGTAAGGATAACTGTCAATACTGGTCGTAATACTAGGAGTATTCCAGAAAAAATGCAAGGGTTTAGGGTTGTAACATAGGCCTTGTAAAGTAACTCATAGTACAAATTTATGCTCTAGGTTCCGTATTATGAGGAAACAAAAAGCTCAGAACCCTATTCTTGTTACCAAGACCCTTATCTTACAACACATGCCGTCCGGCTGGGCGTGAAAGCTTTCGCTACGGCCTTGGATTCTAAAAGTTCGGGTGGGCGGGATGCAGATCCCCAGAGCCCTCCTCGGTTTAGGGTTCAGGTTTTAAGGTCCGGGTTCTAAACCTTCGAGGCATTCGGGTCTGCAAAGCTTACAGCTTAAGTTCCAAACTTCTTAAGACCCGCCAGGCGATTGAGGTCGCGGGTTGTTGGGCATCCCCAATCTCACCTGCCGTAACCAGGATGTTCACATGCTTCCTTCGATGTGTTTCAAGAGACCTTAGTCTCCCTGAGATACAACAATGTCTGGGGAAGAAAGCAGAAGCGCTTCACTCTGACACTGGTGGAGTCTATCCAGGCCCTGCAGCCTCCGCCCTACATGCCTTAAGCAGTGAGCTGTGTAGAAGAAGTCCGGTCTTTGCTCTGCGTGGAGCATGATGGAGACAGGGTTTCTGGAAACATGCCCTAATGCGGAGATCCTAGCAGGAACCCGGCCTTTGAGCAAGTTTGGGAACAGACAGTTCTAACAAGTATCAAGTAGATACTTACGGTGATGATCCAGTTCACGGTCAGTAACTATGATGATTCGAACCGCCATAGAGAAGAATGTAAGAGCATACGGTGACAATTTGCTGGATGATGATGATGATGGCCCCGCAAGAACTTTGAAGACAAAGTCTTGACCGCCGCCACCACCCTCCGCGCTGCAGGAAACAGTCAAACTTCTCGATGCTACGTGGGGTCTTCATCTGGCAAGGCCACAGGGAAGTATACGTTGCACTGGGGCCAGGACAGATTGAGGTTCAGGGTTACAGGGCTTCGGGGCTGGCAGCACCGATTGAAAGCACGAGTTGGATATGTGTGCCGACGCTGTATGGCAGTTCAGTATGGTATAAAAGCTCGACATGCGCTTGGCTCTGAAGTCGCCCTCAAGGACATCTCATCCTCGTTCTCGCTTGCTTTTTTAAATTGCTGCTGCGGCTGTCCGCAGCGACGCTTAGACCCAGCCAAGCTCGAAGGCTCAGACTTCTCCCCCCCCCCCCCCCGGAATTGCTGCACCGGCAACCTAAATGTTGGTACCTTGTTTAAGGGTCCTCATAATAAGGGTCCTACTACTTAGGGTACTATATTAGGGTCCCCTGTTTTCGGAAGCTCCCAAATTTTGCAGGCTTTTGTGAACTTGTTCCACCCCGAATCGACTTGTACCTATCGAGGTCCCCAGAATCATCAACACCCTCACCACACAATCATGGGAACTGCGCATCTCAAGGGCCATGCACCAACAAAAGCAACAACCACGCAACGACCATAATCATAAGCTTTGTAACATATCAGAGGAGCTTTCCCCACTTGAGCCGCACCCGAGGCAGTTGAAGGAGGTCGAGCCGCAGCAGGTCTTGGAATGGGGAAGAGACATGGCACCTGGGCTGAGCCTTCAAAATTTACTATCTGGGGTTCAGGAAACATCCCCAGACCTTCAACCTTATTTCAACAGGCTGGTTTAAACCAGCCAGCTATGAAGCCCTTATACAAGCCTTACATAGCGCCGACCCCGGAGTTTAGTAATTAGGGTTCTTCAGGTTGATGTGCTAGAACCTGAAGATGCGGTTTCAACAGTAACTCACCCTACTGTATGGGTTCATGTCTCTACGCAGCGTATGCCTTGGCCTCTAAGACTCTAAGGGGCAAAGAACGTACTGCACAAGTACATAGGCCCGTAGGGTCTGCTACCAATGACCAAGTTCTCTTAGTCTCTTCTTGGCCCGGATAGCTTAGATGTAGGATCCACCACAAGAAGCTGCCACGCGCCCAAGAAGAAGAGATGGATACTATAGGGGGCCAAATAACTAATAATGCTATTTTGGGGAATCCTCCTGATAATTTTAGTAGAATGGCCCCGAAACCCTATTCTAATGATTAAGGCCCCTATACTATATAGTATCCTTATAGTACCCGTATAGTAACCCTTATAGACACCCCTTAAAGGAACCCTACTCTAATTCTTACGGCCCCTATACTACATAGTACCCTTATACATAGATGCCTCACAGATCCCTTTTAGGATCCCTTTAAAGGAACCCAAAACCCTAACCTAACTTTCAAGGCCCCTATAATATAGTACCCTTATTATAGATCCCCTATAGTACCTCACCCGGGAGCACCCGAGACCCTAAAGTCTCTCAGCTGCCCTACGCGCCCGAAACCTGGGGGGATCGGCGCAGTGACCGGACCAACCCAGCCTGGAAAAGACCCTAAACCCTAAACACAGAAGGATTAAAAAAAAAAACACAGAAGGATCGCGGGCTTGGCGGAAAAAGGAGTTCAAGAAAAAAACTCTAAGGGAACTCTCATTATTTCGAAGTTTTGAACCCAGCATTCGGGCTTGAAGGCTTCAGGCCTGAGGACAGACCCTGTTGATACAGAGGCTTTAACAGTGCAAGGTATCGGGTCTTGGGAGGTTCTTTAAGTTGAGGGTCTGACGTACCTAGACCCTATTTGGAGTTTCATGGGTAACTGGGGTTATAAGTAGGGTAACTATACTTGTAACCCATATTATGGGACTTATAACTCCACTTGTAACTTATAACTACCCATGAACCTCCAAGTAGAGCTCGCGCTTTACGAGGCCCGAACGCTGCAGAACAATCCCACATCACTTACATCAGTGCGAAAGATATTCAACTTTCCCATGTGCCCCTGTCTAATTCTGATGTGGATGCCTTTTCTGTGGAACCACAAGCTTCGATAGAACTCTCAGATTCCAGCATCTACGAAAGCTCCATAAGACTCTCTGGAACGCGGCCAAAATCCCCACCCAACATGGACATGTTCCTTTGACTTTGCTTTGGCAATACGTTTATGTCTCGTTAAGTTGCACAAACCTGGGTCCTCCAAGGCACTGCAGAGGCTCAGCCTGTCCAGCCACCGGGTCGTTAGCATCGAATCCGTCCAGGCGAGACATTGCTCGACATTTAGGGTTTAGGGCGCAGGCGTTTGTGGAACGCTACTAGTAGGGGGTGTATATCCATAGGGTAGTTCCTTTTTGGGAAAATATGTAGAATCCCGTAAGGTAATCCCCAAAACTGCTATGGTGCCCCTGGGTAAGGGAGCACACTTATTTTTCTCGGTACAGGGCTGTGTAGTTTATGGCTGAGCATTGCATGGTTTCGGGCCGCAACTTAGGGCTCAATGTAAAAAGCCTACAATATCTCTCACCCCAAGATCAACGAATACATTAGTCGACTGAGGTAGTAGCCTTGAGCGTATATAACAACGTCTGCCCTGGGCCATAAAGCCTAGAAAAGGTTACATGCCCAGATTTGTGACCCTATTTTTCATGGGAGAGCTGAGCACTGTTTTTAAAAGCCCATACAAAGAGTTCTATCCTTTATGATTATAAGTTACTAGACAGGTTCTAAAGCACTTCAAGGAGTACTCTAAAGGCTCCAAGAAGTCACCAGAAAACCTTCGAATCTTATTCGAATTGTTAAGGCCCCTATAGTATAGAACCCTACTGTAGGTCCCTTTAAGTAATCCTTCAAAAGGAATGTCGGTGTCAGGTGACTTGGGGCCAGCTTTCCTTCACTGCGCGTGCGGACTTCTCCGCATTTGCTTTGGAGCTGGGGCCACCTGGCTGCCACAATCTTTCTCCCAAAACCTTCATATAGGTGCCTAAATAATTGCCTATACTATTTTAGGGGTTCCTTATTATAGCTACATAAAAAGATACCCCCAAAGCCTATGCTACTGATTATGGCGCACATCTTACGCCCTGAACTATTCAAACCTGATTAGTTAGATCGGGTTTGCTGGGGATCTATACAGGGATCCTACACTCGTGGCACTTTAGAGCGTCTTGGTTAGTCAGGGAGTCCTGAACGGGAATTCAACACAAAGTATACTGCAGCGAATTCCTGCAAACGGCATCTTAAAGTAAGAGAGAGGCAAGCTGATTTCTGAGCATTCACACACAGACCGGCAAGGATCCCTAGCTCAGAGATCCAGAACCCACCTTTTTTGTTGTAGCGTCCATATGCATCATAGTAATAATAATATGTACTTTTCAGATTATCAGGTACGGTAAACCAGACCTTGGAAATGCAACACAAGAAAAGACCGCTGCGAGGTCTCACAAACCAATTGAGTACGAGGGCAACCGGGCGCTGTTCTCTGCTGAGTTGCTGGGCTACTGGTTTTGGCTGCTCCTTAAATCTAACCCACCACAACCTACGGTTGTAGGCTCCGCAGGAGTATACGTTGCATGCAATAGGATATGCTAGTTCGGGGTATGGGTTGTGTATCTGGCTCAAGTCTAGGGTGCACGACTACGACATTGGGGGTTATAGGGTTTACGGTCTTGGGTTCAGGTTTTAGGGTGTAGGGTTTAGAGTTTTTAGGCCTGTGGTTTACATGAAGTAGAGCTCAGATACCGTTCGGTTGACGCACCCAGTCCACGACAAAGCTGAAGCATAAGACACGCAAGTCAAATGCCGATGACGTATGCCTAAATGGTTTGAGATGCTCCTCAGCCCAATACACTCCACACGTTTTCAGCGATTCAATTGCGGCTTCCTCGCTTTAGTAGGTGTTGCCGGATGTATAGGAGAATGGGTTTCGCTGCGTTTTTTTTGTGGATTTGGGTCCTTAAATTGGAAGCCAAGCATCAAATCAAGAACGCTGCAGAGTCAGACCCTGAAAAAAAAAACAAACCGATTCCCCGAACCTCAAACCCCCGAAAGCCAAGACCTTCAACCCTCATGGATGGTTACCTTACGAGGTAGGACCCCGCATTCCCGATCGCGTCAACCTGTAGCCCATCCAATCAGCTCATTTCAAGAAACCCATAGAAACCCCACGACCCCCCTCACCCACACCCCCTGCCGACAGAACCCTATTAAAACATCAAATTTTGGAAACACCCCTTTAAGACCCTTTCGAATTTTTTACAGAGCCATTACTGCTAGAGAGTGCTTAGACTCTTACCCGGTAAACCCTTGCCTGAATCCCTAGGCCCTAGACCCCCAAACCTCCATCTACGCTGCTCTCAACCCTGAATCCTGTGCAGACTCTTTCAAGGGACCCTTAAAGGAACCCTAGAAGGAAGGATCCTCATTAGAAGGAGCCCTAGTTCAGGAAACTCGGAAAAAGCCCCCAGAGAACCCGAAACCCGAACCCCAATATAGTATAGATAGAGTCATAGAGGTTTGGGGTCTCGGGGCTTAGGGGTTAGGGGCCATAACTTTGACAGCTACCCACGTCCTAGTCTTAAGCATCGACTCCCAATCCCCAGAAGACACCCCCACCCAAACCGTGGACCTGAAGTATACCTAGACCTACTAAACCCTACTTTCTTGTAGGTTCTGATTAGAAACCCTAATATGGGATTTATAGGAAGTATGGCCCTGAAAGAAGGGTTTAGGGTTTAGGGTTTTGAGCCCCATAAGTTATCAGAATCCTTACGTAGAGCCCTTGGAGAAGCCGGGAGCCCCTGAAATGAACCCTTGAAGGAGCCCTCAATTTAAGAATCCGTACTTAAGAATCCTTAATTAACATAAGCCTTAGAATAATTATAGGAATCCTATAATTAAAACTCCTTGATCAAGTAGGAATACTTAATTAACATAATCCTGAACTAAGAATCCTTAGTCCGGAATCCTTAACTAGGACTCCTCATTCATTATACGAGCCCTTAATAAAAGATCCCGAAATAACCGACTCCGAGGATTCCGTATTGCTTTCTGCAGAGCCAGTCGTCGACTGCACTGCACTTCCACTGCGATGCCGTGCCTTGGCAGCAGACCTCCGGTTTGGGGATGGTTTGGGGATTAGGGTATATATTGTTTAGGGGTTTAGGGTGTATTTTAGTGGTTAGGGGTTTAGGGTGTATTATAGTGTTTAGTGGTTTAGGGTTTATTATAGTGTTTAGGGGTTTAGGGTTTATGGGGTTTATTACAGTGTTTAGGGGTTTAGGGCTTATAGGGTTTATTGTATTGTTTTTTGGGGTTTCGGGTTTAGGGTAGGGTTTTAGGGTTTAGGGTAAAGACCTGGGTTCTGATAGGGTTCAGGAAAAAACGTGTTATGGGGCTTCCAGGCATGCGTTTTTTATGGGGGCTTTGCTCTTTGGCAAGGTTTAACAGGTCCCTGATTTTCTGAACTTCCCGCGGGATAGGCGAGGTTCAGCTTTATTGCTGGGATTCGGTTTTAGTCACAGTCTTCTGCCAGGTAGGCTGTTTTGGTGGGTTGTAAGTGCACTGATTGGGCTATCCGGTCCTGTGGTGCACCTTGCATAATCCACAAACGACATAGGGACGCCGGCATCTCTCAACTAAGGAGTCTTCCCTCGTAACAACTTAGGGGTACTTAGAAAAAGTTTTAAGTTTTGTTTGTTATAATCCCTAAGAAACAGCGAAACTTGTAATTTTTGCTAGGGTTCTAAGTTCAGTATAGACAAGAGGGGTCGAGTAAGAGGCTCTCGAGATGTGGGACCCTGATGAGAATGCGCAGCATTACAGTAGAAGCCCATAAAGTTGGAAACCCCATAGCCTCAATACTTAAGAGTAACGTATAGGGAATCCCAGCACTATTTGGCCTTAGTCGGGTTTCCAACTTTGTAGGGTTTACTGTAATGCTGGCCCAGTGCTAGCACCTGTGCAAGCACGTACTCTCAATGGGCAAAACCCTGATTGTATAGGGAATCTGCTACATTGTTACATGTCTTTAGTCCTGGGTACAAAGGGAAACACAAAGCACCGAACTTCTTGCGTCTAACATCCTTGCATTCTGGTATTCATTTTCGCAGATTCCTTCAGACTCCAGTTGCCGACAAGAATGCGTTTCTGGCCTACTATGAATAGTATATGCCACTATGTTGGTACTTCGGGCATTGAAGATTGCTGCTTGTGTTGCCAGGCGCCCCTCGCCGCGCGGGGCCTCATTCCAGAGGGATTTGCTGCAGCACTCCGACGCTTGCCGGCCAGCGGTTCTTTCTCAAATGTTCCATGGTAAGGTTGGTGCTCTAACTCTACTTTCAGCTCTTCGGGGATGACCGTCTCAGAGCTTAGGGATTCAAGCTTAGGAACTGGGGGCCTAGTTGTCATACAGCACAGGATACCTGCGTGGAGTTTAGGGTGCTGAATTTTGCCTGGGGCCTAGGGCTCAGTGGCGGTTAGGACTTAGGGTTTTGGAAACCAATTTCCATAACCCGAAGCGAGTCAGGACGACGCAAAAACCGCATCTTCCCTGAGCGCCCAAGCCAGCGGCTCAGAGCCACATATTTTGAATGCACTGTTAGGAACACTATTGAATCCCTGTAACAGACAGCAACACGGGTGTTATAGCAGCCTCATTTAGTATTCACGCAATTCTCAACCCATGCTTCAGCCATCCGAGGGGATGGCAAGTTGAAGATTGTCGTGACCCTGTACTAGCGCTATCATGGTAACCCTGAGCCTACGATGGTAACCTTATTGTAATGCCTAAACAACAAACCCTAAACCCCAATATAAACCTTAAACCCCTAAACCTCTAAAGCCCTAAACCCTTAAACCTCTAAAGCCCTAAACAAAGACATCCGAGGAGATGGCAAGTTGAAGCTGCAGATTCAGCCGCCCCGGCCGCGTGAGGTGAAGGAGACTAAGGGGCTCCCTTTTCCGAACGAGAAGCGATGAAGGGTGTAGGGTTTAGGGGGTTTAGGGGGTTCAGGGGGTTAGGGTTGAGGGTTAGGGTTTAGGGTTCTAGGGTGTAGGGTTTAGGGGGTTTAGGGAGTTCGGGGTCGAGGGCTCTAGGGCTTAGGGATATTAGGGTTTAGGGCTTTAGGATTTTGTTCGGGTTTACGGGTTTAGGGTTTGGGAGTTTAGGGTTCAGGGCTTTAGGGTTTAGGGAGTTTGGGAGTTTAGGGTTTAAGGCTTTTAAGGCTTTAGGGTTTAGCGATATTCGGGTTCAGGGAGTTTAGGATTCAGAGAGTTTAGGATTTGGGGAGTTTAAGGATTGGGAGTTTAAGAATTAGGGCTTTAGGATTTTAGGGAGTTTCGGGTTGAGGGAGTTCAGGGTTCAGGGCTTTAGGGTCTTAGGGAGTCTGGGGTTCGGGGAGTTTTGGGTTTGGGATGTATATTGGGCTTCAGGGTTTACAGGGTTTGGGGCTTCGGATTCTCAGAGGGCCTGGTACCCTCAGTTAAGGATATATGACTTGAACTCTAGAGGGCCATAGCTGAGGTATTGGGCTCTTTTGGGGATTGGCTAAGTGTGTGGGTTACCTGTCGGGCTATAGCTAATTAGGACCTAGGATTCTGCCCCAAGAACTGTGCCCGTTACAGTCCCACCCCAATAAACCACTAGAGGACCTCATCAGAACATTCCAACACCCCACCCTTACTATGTTCCCATGAATGTTCGCCCCCAATGCCGTACTCCTGACCCTAACGTCCTCAAACAAGCATAGCAGAATCCAATCTCCTCTAAACCCCACCATAAACCCTGAAACCTCTAAGCCCTATACAAAGCCCTTAAGTGCGCAACCATTGGACGGAATGCCGGAGACACGAACGTTCCTGAAGATGATGTCTGCCGAGCCCTCTTCGCCTACGTGGCTGCCTTCCTTTATACCGTCACGAGGAAAGGAATGCTTGGCTTGGGAGTTCCAGCATGCTGGACCGATACCCGGCTGCCATGCTGCTTGCACCCGTCTTGCTGAGAACAAGAGGTGTATAATCTGTACCCCATGACGTTTGCGAAGGTCATGCATAACTGCATCAAGCCATCCCAAGTAACAAGGAACCACTCTATGCCCGTCGACAACCCCACTCTCTGGATTGGAAATGAAGAAGGCAACGACGCAGCAGCTCAAAGAACCGCCCCGTTAAGCAGGCTTCAGTTGGCTTGCAGACATATTGACTACACAGATTTCTGCAGATGTTGCACCGAGAATAGTGTGGCAATGTCCGCAGTACTGGAGGGTTTCCTTGGAAGTTGAGCCAACCGTCCCGCATATGGGGGACAGGATCCAGGTCCCGCTCCCTTGATCTACTGCCTTTCCAAACCGACTTTGTGCACTTTGGAAGCAGGAATTGCAGCAGGATATTGCTGCATACCTGTTCTTGCCGCCAATCGGAACGTAATTCACAACGCACCGACAGCTATTTTTAGATGCAGATCTTGCACAGAACGAGAACTAAACTTCCAAGCTGTAAGTTTTCGCAGGAGGCCCTGCGAATCTTCCGAGCTTTGGCCAGCTTCCATCAGATGCCTGGGCAGTATAAAGTTGAGGTTCTACCCAAAGCCCCCATAGTAATTCCTTTTTGGGGCTCATATTTAGAATCGTACGAAGTTATCCCAAAAAGGAACTACTATGGGGCCTCTGGGTAGGTTGGGGTTTTATGGGTTGTAGAGGTATGTAGGGGCGTAATGGGTCTTTGGACTTGTACCTGGATATCATGTTGTAGCACAGCGGAATGGGATTTAGGGTTGGGGGTTTGGGCTTCGGGACTTTGGAGGCAAGCGGTTCATACCAGCTCAGCAGGTCAACTCCTATCTTATCCTACCAGGCATAAGAAAAAGGTGTTTCTGGGCCTGGGTTTGCGACTTAGGGCTTCTTGGGGGTTTGGGCCTAGAGCTGCTTTGAGTGTGATGCTTGGTTCTGCGTTCGGGCGCCCGAAAACTAAACCGGCTGGTCTATGACTTCAGGCTTTAAGCTTCGTGCTGCCCTCAAGTGAAGCTTTTTGGGCGCACTCGATAGACTTGGAATTCTTAGGCTTCTGGTCGCCAGCTTTCTGATAACGTATAGATATAGATCTTGTTTTTTCAGTCTCCAGGTTGATGCTTTCCTGGATCTTCCAATATCACTTATAACCAAAGGAAGGAACTTTACTTTAAATTACAGCAGAATCCCTGTAAGATAATTCAGGGTATATTCCTTAACTAAAGGATCTTGGGCGGGTCAAGGTTCTGCCAAGACGGGCCGAACCCCAATGGCTGACCTCGTCCACCCGAAGGCCTTGCCCGAAGGCGCAATTTAGAGTACTCCCTATGTGGGTACATTGGGCCGAAATTCTATACTATCTGGGTACATGGACCCTTAGCAACGTATGTCATTGAATGCACATTCAGCCGAGGAGTGCAGGGGAGCAGGCGAGTCACAAAGAGGAGACTGCTGAGGTCAAGGTTGCGGCACAACCGAAGGCAGGGCTTTCACGGAAAATTACTGTAGGCTGTCGAGTCGAAGGGAGAGGGTTTAGGTTTTAGGGTGTAGGTTTCGAGTTGAAGGGTGACATCTCCCTAATTACCAGGCTTTTCTCAGGGTGAAGATGTAACAGCCCCGTTTCCAAGAAGAGCTCTGAGAGTTTGTTGTCGAGGTTCCGCAAGTAGGGTGAAGCATTATGGGCCCTTGAGGTTTGCGGATCTGGCCTAAGAGTTTCGGGTTCTAGGGAGTTTGGAGCGATCGAACCCTGGGAAAGCTGCTGCACAGCTTTTGCGCCTTTTGGGGCTTATGCTTAGACTTTAGTACAGGTTCCGTGACACCAGCCAAAACCCTCAAAACCCTATAAACCCTAAACGAACAACGTCCAAAAACTCCCAGAGCCCCAGTGAGTCCCAGGCCTCGGACCATCAATGACCCTCAACCCTATTCCCTGCCACACCCCGAACCTCATGGTAGCCCTTATGGCGGAACCGTCATGAAAGTAAGCTTTATAACAACCCTTATTCCAGCAACTCTTATCGCAGAACGTTATAGTTCATTTCAAGGAACCCTAAAGGAACCGCAGCCCTCAGGTGAGGGCCAAGGCCCAGGCGAAGCAGAGGGCACAAGCAGAGCCGAAGGCCAAATCCAAGGCGAAGGAAGCGAAGCCAAAAGCAAAGCCGACACTTCGTCGCAGGGGGTGGGGGGAGATCTGCACAGTTTAGGGCCTTAGTGCTACAATCAGAACAACAGTTTTGATAACGATAATGATAACAATGGTAGCAGGATAAGAGTATCATGTATAGTGTAATGATCATCATCGTAGTGCTGACAGTGGCTACCCCTGTCAGAGTTTTGGATTGTGCGCTTGAGGGCTTCGCGTAGCTGGTTGTTGGCCTGAGGTGTTTGTTTTTTTGTCGTAATGGTCAAGTTGCTTCTCTGAGACCTGCAAGACAGTACGTGATCATGATGCCATAGCGCTCGCTCTTCCTTAGAGAATCATAGAGATGCAAAACACTGCAAAAACGCAACAACAACAACACAAAGCATCTGTCAGGAACTTCGTGATCAGTTCGAGTCGTGTCCGAGACATGCCTATGAAGGACAAGAGCCAGAATCTAGCGCATCCATCCCCTTACACTGTGTTCGGTATTGTTTGCATTCCCGAATCTTCAATCCGATCCTGCACCCATGAACTGCAAGATTTCAGGCCTAAGACAAAAGCTAGGACTTCCAATGCTGAAGCCCCAAGCCCTGAACCACTGAACCCCCCTTTACGTAACAATCACCGAAGTCCCACACCTCAACATCAATTGAAGCCTTTCACGCTCAACCCTAGAAGCCCCCAGAAAGGCCCATATCCTAGCCTGCGAATCGTATACCTACACCCTGAAGCCTAAGCCTATATCTACGCCTTGCAAGCCGTAGCTGTATTGCAATGACGCAAAGAGCCCAGCCAAGGAAAGCAAAGCCAAAGCCGGAGGCAAAGGCAAAGTCGCAGGCGTGGTCTCCCAAACAGCAAACCCAAATTCCCGTTTGGGGCTTCCTATACGGGTTACTACGGGTGTCGATGAGTGTTACATTGATTGAAAAGCATTAGTACAACAATGGACCCCAAAACGCCTTGGAGTTCGAGATGAGCCCATATTTCGTGGTCTCTTAAGGCCACATATGACATACCATACCATGTATGGTTCAGTTGTAGCTAAAAACGATGTATCTGGGCAGCTTGGTTGTGAGGGTGTTTAAAGCCACATGCCCTACGAGATGAACAACTTTTGGGTCTTTTGTGGCTTTTGGCGGCCAGGGTTTATGATTTAGGGCCTTGTTTGTTTGATGATTGTTGGGGCTAAGAGGCTTAGAGTCCAGCGATCATAGCTTGGCTTGGATCAAGCATGCTAACTAACTCAACAAGCGACTTGATGCCGGAAAAGGATGTAGCAGTGGCTGGAGCAACAACAGCGCTGACAGCAGTATACACAAATCACACCAACCGCGACGAGAGTTTAGGTTTGGTGTTAAGTTTTAATGCCTGTTGAGGCTGATTGTCCCTGCTGGGTGTGATGAGAATTCAACCCTACATGCTGCTCAGCCCTTTGCCCCCAAGTATACCTCAAGTAAACCCTATGGCTGTGAGGTTCCAGGCCCGGAGCAATTGTATTATCAGCCTGAGCCAGGCGAAGAAGGAGTCGAAGGCTTCGCAGAAGACGAGAGAGCGGGCACCTGGGCTACAAAGTGCAACGTTGTTCAGGGATTCAGCGTTTAGTTTAGGGCTGTTGGGTTTCGGTTTTTCGGGTTTGGGTGTTTGTGTTAAGTGACGGCTTCTAGTATCTGGTCCCATTGGGAAAGTTCATAGGAGATGGAGAGAAGTCGAAGCTTTCCGCCTCACCCCAACCAGTCAACCCAGACACGGCCCCGTAAACCTGAAGTATACCTTAACCTTAAGCCCTAAATCTTGTGAGCCCCAAGCCCTCTATAACTTCCCTAACTAAATCCTACTAACCCTAAATCCTGGACCCTAAACTCCCCCAGTCCCAGGCTAAAGCCTCCGATCCTGCGGAATTGGATGCGGCGCAGACATCCTCGAAGAAGCGCAGCGCGCAGCAATCGCCGCTTGAGCTGCACTTCTGAAATTGAGGGTCTCGGACTTTGTCAGCATGTTTCTTATCTCTACAGGACTTTAACGAGCATATGCTTGCATCCCACGAGCCCGGTTGTGGGAACAGCAGGAATTTTCAAAACCCTATCTTGCATCCTCTGAGCAGGTGTACAAGTACCTTCCTGCATCCTTGTGGATTGTAATCTGTTGTTGTTGAGCGCAATGGTCTCTACGTTTCGGGTCTGGTTTGAAAAGCATAACCCAGGCATACCAACATAAGACGAAATCGTCTTTTCAGGCTTCTTGTCAAATAAGTTCGTTGAAGAAGTTGCCTTACGATAGATGCATCAAATATTTGTTACAATTCAAGTCGCGCTAAAGTTTTAATAAATTGACCAGAAACTCCACTTAAGGGTTTAGGACTTGAGGGCGGCTTGGGTCGCTCTAGATTCGGATTTGGCGGCTTCAAGGCCACGTCATGCTAGAAGACCCCAGACACTAAAGCCCGAAGCACTGAAACCCTACAGTACGTCCCAACCATCATAACCCTAAGACCCTTAGATAAGCCCTTCTAGTAACCCTCATAGAACCCTTATAGTAACCCTTGCAAAAACCCCCTTCAAGGGATGGCCGAATTCTGATTCGCCCAGGCTTGGGGAGGATTGCAGTGCGCCGCGCAAGAGAGGAGCCAAGGCGGCACCGAAGGCAAAGGCGTCAGCTGCCAGGACCGGCTCAGCGCTCTATGGGTTTACAGTAGAAGCCAGAAAGTTGGAACATCAGTAGCCTCATGCCCTTAAAGTACAGTGAAGGGAATGCCAGCGCGAATCATCCTAAATCCATGTTCCATTTTTCTGGGGTTCACTATAGGGGTTTTGGGTGGTGGTTTAGGCTTCATTGCTTTATTTGGTTTAGGGGTTTGGATTTGCGGTTTCGAGTTAGGATTTGCATTTCAGGTTTTAGTTTCAATGCTTCGACTAAGACTTCGAATTCGCGGTTGTGCTGAGCTATTGAAGCTCATGTCTCTGCAGGTGTATCTCTGTATTTTTTTTTTTTTTTGTGTGTGTGTGTTTTCTTGTTTTCCCGGGCGTTGTGGTAGTTGGGTCTGAACCTTCAGAGTGTAGTGAGCTTCTAGTGTTTGAGCATCTTCATTGCTACGAGTTTAGGGCTTATACTGTTCTAGGGTTCGGAGCTGAGGTTTTCGGATGTAGGGTGCTAGGGTCTTGGAGTTTGTTGCTTTAGGATCTTGAGGTGTTGGGATCCGAGCGCTTCAGGGTCTGCTGTTTTCGGATTCCGGACTCTGGGGTGTAGGGCTCTAGACTTTCGGGTGGCTCAGAGGATTCCGGGTTTCGGCAGTTTCGGTTTTTTCATTTCGGGAGCCGGGTCCGGGGGCACTTTATAAAATAGGGTCTACCTCGACCCCAAAAGTATGTGGAATAACAGCCTTTTATAGGTTTTGGGCCATTATTCTACCTACTAGGGGGGGTCTAGGCAGTGCTTCAGGGTCTTTGGGTCGTGGGTTTCCAGCTCTTGCGACTCTCGGCCTGGAAATGTATTGTCCTTAGCGCTCACAGTGCAGGCTGTGAGGCAGTATAGCTGAGTAACGGTCTCGCCGGAGCGAGCCCTTTGAGAAGCATGAAATCCTACACCTCAATATGGGGGCCTAAATATTTTTGGTATAATGGGCCCCAAAACCTTATTCTAATGATTAAGGCCCCTATACTTCCCCAAAGCGCACACCCCAGCCAGCGACTTCTCAAGGATCTTGAGCAAGCATGTTAAATAAGTACCAATACTAGATTGGGTTCCTTAGTAAGTATATTATGTTGAGCCCCAAAGCTCTAATAATTAAGGCCCCTAAATTATAGCACCCTTATAGATCCCATATAGTATCCCTTTGCGAACCCTTAAAAGAACTCAGTTCTAATTATTAAGGTTTGTTCCTCCGGGCGGCCATCGTGGGGCTACTGGTCACGGAGTTACGGGTCCCTACTGTTGGAAGTGTGTTTTGCTTGGACCTTTTTCGTCGGATTATCGGAATTGGCCCTAAGATGTGCGAGTTGCTACTGCTCAGCAAACCGACAGATTGACGTGCGGCTTCAGGGGTGGTATCGGGGCATGGTGACTGAGTAACTAGTAATATTCCGTGTAATATCCGCTAGTAAAGCAACACCGAATGCCCGAAAACCCTATTTTACTGATAAGGTCCCTCCACTGGGGGATTTAATGCTTTGAGTGTGACTGGGGACGATTTTCTGAATGTTTCCCCAAAGAGGCCCAGAGCCGCGAAAGCGGCAGAGCGCAGCGGAGCGCCCGCTGCAAAGAAGAAGCCGGCGTGCAAGCGCTAAGTCCTGAGCCGTGGAGCTGGCACTACTACCGAAATTGATCCCTTGCTGTAATGCAGACCCTTCACTGAATAAGGTTTACAATCGGGGACTGAATATCACAAGGCCCTCAAGCAAAGGGGGTTGATTGAGACCAGGGGTCTACATTACCACATTCTCTCCCAACATCTGCAGATACGTGCTACAAGCAGAACTGCATACAAACGTATGCAGACTTAATCTGGCTGTGATCTGTGGTGCCTCATGTCAGGCATCATCGACAGCCTTGTTTCCATTCTTTCAGCCACAGTCCAAGTTTGACGAAGCTTGGCAGACTTGCCACTAAGCGTACTACCAGGGGTCGAATAATTAGTAATGCTATTCCCTGGTACTCCTCATGTCTATACCAAAAGATACCCCGGAATTATATTCAAATGCTAAGGCCCCTAGGACTGAACTTCTTGGTGCGCTGCAGCCAGGTTCCCTGCATGAGTCCGAAAGGGGTGACTCGCACGGAAGACAAAAAGCGCGAACGAGGGACAACGGCACGGTGTTTCTGCCACGGCTTACTACGTAAATCGAAAGCAAGAGTCTTTGTCGGCATCATCATCATCTTCATCATCATCACACTTCCTCTTGTCCATTCTTTCAACATGATTGCGAGAAGTAATTATCTTCGTCGTCGCTGCTGCCCCAAATGCTTCGGCGATAATGCTGGCAAGCATCCAAGATGCAAGACCAGAAACACGAAAGTCAGCAAGCCCGTACTTCATTTAGCATAGGAGACTGAGCGACATGGAGAGGAAAGTCATATGACACTTACCGGCAGCAAACAGCCCGTTAAAGCAGCATGTCAGGCAATGTTGCGACAAGTACGGCTGCTCAAGTATATGGCATCTTCAGTCAGTCAGAAGCCAGTAATACCCACGCTTCATGGGCAAACCGCCCGAAAAGGTTCATGGTGTGTTCGGAAAAGGAGGAGCCCTATCCATGCACGAGACCGGACACCAGTTACCTATGAATACCTGCGAGTCCTCAACCCCAAACATCATCCCCAAGCACTAAACCCCGCAAACATGAAACCCTTCTCTAACCCCGAGACCGGTCAGACCAGAACTACCACTACCACTATTACTAGAACTACAACTACAACAACTACTACTACTACAACAACTACTACTACTGCTACTACTACTACCACTACGACGACGACTACTACTACGACTCAGAATGGTCACAGCAATTTTCTCAATTCGTCTTAAAAGCTGTAGAGGTGGTGCAAGACGCCTCGCCCTGCGGGCATCCTGCCCTTGGCCCGGAGACGGAAGAGGCCTTGGAAGCTCGAAGAAATGTCCTCTAAGGTCTTAGGAGAGTTTTCTAAAGGGGTTCTGTAGGATTTCGTAAGTTTTTTAACGTGAAAAATTAGGAGGGCTTTATAGGGGGGTTCTCTGTAGGATTTCATAACAGGTTTTTGGTAGGGTTTTGCTCAAAGTGCTACTGGGTCAAACTTTGGGTTTGAGGGGCTTCCATGCAAGGAAGGAGTCTCATTGGAGAGCCGAACACTTCCGAGAACGCTTCGGTTTTGTTAGGGTTTGAATCTATACGGAAGTGTCGGGGTTTGCTCTTAGAGGTTTTTGGTTTGGGCTAGCTTAACCGACACTCAAACCAGAGTTCCGCAATGGTTGCGGTCATGTTTGTACTGACGAAAACAAAACACGGCTTCGCTCTGGGTCTCGTGTCACAGCAGCCTCAACATGGGCAACCACAAGTAGGTCATCTGCGTTGAAATCGTGCCGTCGATGATGCTGGTGGTGGTAGCGATGACGATTCCCTAAATCCTACAGGCTCATACTCCGCTGTTAGGCCTGGTGCCATCATGATTTCAAGGCTGAAGCTGGTCCCATGATGCAAAACCCCAACCCCCAACCCCCTGATGTGGGGCCGGGGCCTAGATAATCACCTATAGTATCTTGGGGGCTCCTTGTTATAACTATGGTATAATATAGCCCCAAACCCTGTCCCAAATCCCCCCAAAAGAAAACCCTGGAAGCTAGAGACTGCCACCGCGCCAGGGCAGCTGCAACTCGGACATTAAGCCGCGGGCCCAGAGGACTCAGTGCTTCCAAGGTTTAGGGTTTAGGGGTTTAGGGATACAGGTTTCTATGAGGTTCTGCTTCAAAGTAACGGTGGAAATGGTATTAGTAGTCAGCATAATACCAACAACAACGACCATACTGATAAAACATAACAATGATAATACTGGGGTTCCATTCTTGGAGAAGACGTTGCAGATGCAACCTGTAGGAGCAATGTGTTGAGATCACGCGGACGAGGGTGCACATTGCTGGCATACTTTGCATCAGCTGGTCTCAAATTGAGGAAACAGATTCTATACAGCAGCAAGGAGTTTGCGATTTTGTCAGCTGGGCCATCGCAAAGCGACAGCTGCAGGACCGGCAGGATAAAGACTTCTGGGGGAAAATGGGGCGAAGCAGCATCGACGACTTGAAAGCCTTCGAAGCTGGTGAGCTGCCCCGCTCCCACCTACCACAAGCTCTTTCAAACGGATCAGGGCGAGGCTGGCATCGCCAAGACTTTCTGGCTGATCTTCCAGTACCTCGAGTACTTCGTGGCGAGCAAGACGCACGGCAAGCGCCTAGCCACGTCGAAGCTCGTCTTGCGGAGCCCAGCGAACATTGTCACCAAGATGGAGGCCCTAACAAATACCAGCATCATCGCTGAGGGCTCCTCCTCACAGGTATACTAGTCCAAGCCCCAAAGCCCCGTTCTAGTTGTCAAGGCCGCTACATAGAGCTTCGGCACCAGGTTAACCAGCTTCTTGATGTTTTGGCAATTGGCGTCTTGGGTTTAAGATTCACGATCTCGGTTTCCGGATGTCGGACAAGGGGCTCGAACTTTCTCTCGCAGTAAACACTCGCGACGAGAATGTTTATGCCTTTGGGGTATGGTTCCGGGCGGGGTGGGGTTACAAGTGCCTAAGTTGAGACTTAAAATGATCTCTTTGCTTGTATTCTCCAACGGGTCCACGAGCCTATGTCGCATGACGTTGGCATTTAAGGGGTTGCCATGTAGGTACTGTAGGCTCAAAGCAAATGCTACATGGGACACGCATGGACCCTTAAGCTTCTAGTGTCCATGATCCTTTAAGCTTAGCCTTAACCCTAGACCTCGAACCCTGGAACCGCCAGCGCGTCGAGAAACCTAATCGCTGTCGCGTCGCAGGGGAGAAGTTCAGGCTTGAGGCTTAAGCCTTAAGGTTTTTGATTTAGGGTTTAAAGCCACCACAGCTTAACCCACTTTTGTTGTAGGGTCCCTATACAATTTTATGAGGGTATCTAGGAAGAACCTACAAAAAAAGTCGGGTTTGGTAGTGTAGGGCATCCCCAAATGCCAAACCCTGGGCTCGACTTCGGTTGCACCTGAGATCTTGAGATCCCGGAGCTCCAAACCGGCGCAAGCTGCGCCTTATAGGGCCTTAATAATTAGAATAGGGTTCCTTTCAAGGGCTCTATCAGGGTTACTATAAGGGATCTGTAAAGGTACCATCATATAGGGGCCGTGATAATTATGAATAGATATTTTGGGGTCCACTGTGCCATAAGTATAATAAGGAACCCCCAACGTAGTATGGGTAATTGTTGAGGCCCCTATAGTATGTCTGCACAAGGTTGTGCGGAAGATTAACGCTATCTCATGATTGGGTCCTCAACGGCCCTGGGGCCCTAACTTTCAGATCCTGGGTAGCTCGGGGGTTGTAGGTGGTTGTCAAAGTTAGGGCCCCTTTTTGGGTACCCTAAATATTAGGTGCCGTACTATATTAGGGACCCCAAAAGGGACCGTAATTTTGACAACCACCCTTATAGTAGAATTGCAACAAAAGGAACTCCAAGGAAAAGTAGTGTCTTTTCGTTGTTCATCATTCAGGGCCCCCCATGTTTCTCCCGAGCCAGCCGTTCCTCGAGGTGCGACCCCACCTTTGACTGCGAGTTCAATGACTGGGCGGACTGGAGCATTCTGGCGGCAAAGATTCCCAGCATGCCTAATACAGCGTAGTGCAGGAGTTTAAAATGGGCATAAGGGGCTTCACCCTAAACCCCAAACCCAAAACCTTAAACATAGCATGATTTGTTGTCTATTCCGGAATCGAGGGGTGACGGCCTCTCGGGTTTGAAGTTGGGTTCCGGATGAGGGTTTAGGGCTGGGGCTCCAGAGTTTTAGGGGCTTGGGTTCTGGGTTTTCCAAACCCGAGATCCCAAGCCGTTCCTTTATGTTTAACAACTACCACGGCTCTATTGAGTTTCTAAACATGTAGATCTTGGGGGGTGTAGGGTCAGTGTTCTCTCCGTAGGTTTGAGCAAACCCTGAACCGAAAAGACCCTCTGACCCTATCATTGGCACCCTTACAGTAGCCCTTATTGATCCTTTAAAGGAGCCCCTGCAAAACCCCTAAACCACAGCAGAAAGAAAATTAAGCCAAGGCCCTTGCAATCTGATAGCCTTACAGGAATCCTTGTAGACTTACAGACCCCTCAGAGGAGCCCTTACAGGAAGCCTATAAAACCCTAAACCCTAAACCCAAAACCCTAAACCCTAAACCCTAAACCCCTAAACCCTAAACCCTAAACCCCAAAGCAAAAGAGGCCCTTGCTCCACCTCTTGCTCCGGGCTCAAGAGCCGATCGCGCGGGATCAAGCAGCGGGCTCGGAGCAGGGGAGGGGCGTTTACCCAGAGACTCCAAAACCCCTTAATCTAGGACCCAGAGTAGGCCCTTATTCCCTTTTTCAGCGTTCAGTTTCCCCTATAAGCCCCCTTTAAAGCAAAAAGGGCACCCTTTTTGTTCCCAGGCTACTCTTGGGTCTAGTAATTAAGGAATATACCTTAAGTTATAATAGAATCCCTAATATGATTTAAGGAGTATTCCTTAATTAAGGGGTTTTGGAGTCTCTGGGTACGGGGTGGGTTTTGAGGGGGGTGGTAGGGGCTTTAGGGTTGAGGGTTTAGGG